CTGCTTTGCGAACCGCCGATCAGCTGTTTAAATCGCTGTCTTGCGAAGCTTAGGTCCCGAAAACACCTGTTTTGTGAGTGCGGAGGGAGCTGTCAAAATCGTCATCTAGCAAAAATCGATTTGCGAAGCAGGGACCAAACATTGTCCAGCGAAATTCCCCCATAGGAATCACTGTTTTGCGAATCACTATAGCGATCGCAAAAAGTCAACGTCTAGCGAAAAAACCTGTCATGCAGGGTAACTGTCTAGCGAGGCACCACTGTACTCATTCCATGTCTTGAAAAGCAACCCTCCATGTTACTGAGAGCATCGGTGGCGGCGGTTCCTGTTACTTTGCAATAATTGTTAAAAAAAAATATATCAATAAAGGATGGATAAAAGGGGGCCACAAGATTTTAAACATTTCTGTTTGAAATCTCCAAAAAGAATAATTTTTAGAAGCTGGTAGAACATGTTAGTCAAGACGTCAATGAGATGACTTTTCTGCTGTAATGGCCATCCCTTACATTCTCCTTCTTTCTCAAAAAAGTAATTCCTTGTGGGTAACTAAATTACTTTTAGTTTACTATTTCCAAATCACCAAGTTATTTTAAGCCAACTGGCCAGGTGAATTCCTAACCCGACTGTCCTGAAATTAGACCAGTCACTTATGTAAACTCCCCCCAAAAGAGAAAACTTGATACCCCAAAAAAGAGGACATCTTTAGAGTTCTCAGGCCACCTGCTGATGTTTCAAGAAGAAGCGATGCTTCTCTGGGCTTCAGAAATGAGAACTTTTCACAAGGTTAGCTGTTCCTAGCCTTGGGCCCCCAGATAGTCTTGGACTACAACTCCCAGAAGCCTTCACCACTAGCTGTGCTGGCCAAGATTTCTGGGAGTTGAAGTCCAAGAACATCTGAGGAGCCAAGGTTAGGAACCACCAGTGACCTCGTTGACACACTCAACACATTATTGTACCTGTTTAGGGGTCTGTAGGATTTCCTGGGCTACCGCTGTAGCAAAAATGGCTTTATTGCTTCCTGGACTGAGCTGTAAGGAAAGTGAAAGTCCAGTCACGAGTTGGACCCCCAGATCAGTGATGGTCACTTTTTCGTCAAGTACAGTCACGGTCTTCTCTGCCAAGATGGCATCAGAAAGTGGGGAAAGAATCTGAAGGAGAAAAGGAAGATAGAAAATCAGTATTGAGAGAATCCCCCACCCTAGAACCAATATATGTCTTTATTTCATGCGTTTACATCTTGCTTGTCCGGCAATCATAACCCAGAGGTCTAAACAAAACTAGGAAATGTCAAAGGAGCATCGCTGAAAGAATTATAAGTATTAGCTTTAAAACAAAAACTGCCATCACTACCCCCTGAGAAACTGGAGTCATTGCCCTCACTTGTTTGGAATCATAGAATGACCGAGTCAGAAAGGACCTCGAAGGCCATTGAGTTCAACCCCCTGCTCAATGTAGGAATCCAAATCAAAGCAGACAGAGGATTGTCCCATTTTTTCTTGAATGGTTCCAACGTTGGAGCACTCATCATCCATTGTCATACTGCTCTAACAGTTGAGAAGTTTCTCCTGATATTCAGTCTAAATCTGGCTCCCTGTCACTTGAGCCTATTAGTACATGCCCTGCACTCTAGGATGATGGAGATCCTGTCCCTCCGGTGTAAACTCCCTTCCAAATCTTTGAAATGTGCTATCATACTTCCCCTCCAGTTTTCTTTTCTCAAGGCTAAACATGCCCAGTTCTCTCAGTTTTTTTGTGTGTGTGTCATGGGGCTTGGTTTCCAGTACAGTGGTGCTTCACATTACGACGTTAATTCGTTCCAGGGAAATCACTGTAGAATGAAAACGTCTTAATGAGAAATTAAAAAGCCAATAGAAATGCATTAAACCCCATTTAATGCATTCCAATGGGCTACAATCTCACCGTCCAGTGAAGATCCTCTATAGGGCGGCCATTTTCGCTGCCTGTGCAGCGAGGAATCCATCCCAGAAAACAGCGGGGGGCCATTTTGAAACTGCCGATCAGCTGTCCAGAAATCACCGTTTTGCGAAGAATCAGTTCCCGAAGCAGGGAACCGATCATCGCAAAGCGAAATTCCCCCATAGGAAACATCGTAAAGCGATCACAAAAAGTTCATCGTAACGTGGTTTTGTCGTTAAACGGAGTGATCGTAAAGCGAGGCACCACTGTATAAGCCAGCTTGTATTTCCACATTGCATTTCATTTCCCTCTTCTGACTCTCTTGTCTTGCTCTGTTGAGTATTGCCAACATCTAGGTCGTAAACTTGCCGGGGCAGTCATTTTTCTCTCCTCCGTTTCCCTCTCTGTCCCTTACATTACAGATCGCTCTTAAGGCCACATGAAGCTTATAAAAAGTGAGTTCAACCAGACAGATACCAGCTGACTTATCACTCTTGGAGATCCTGGCATTTCAAAAGCAGCTGACTTTGACAATTTCTCAAGTGACAACCTATATGTATTCTTTCAAGTAGATGGACCGACTTGCAATCTCTCTCTCTCTCAATTTATTTCCCAGAGATATTCTTTATATTTATGGATGCTCGCAGAAGACAAGAAGAGATGTCAAGTTTTTCTCAACCTATAAATAAAGATCTTTAAGGCGACCGCCACAGCATCCAGTTTTCCAAAAAAGCTGTCTCTTCATTTCTTCCTGGATGCATTATTCAATGCCTGTGTGGGGTTTCGGATGAGTTGACCGGGTCCCTCAGCAATCTATGCATGCCAGACCCCATGCTCATCTATTGAACAACGTTGAAGCTGATTTTTAAAACCTATTGGCTTCATTGTTGGATGATTCACGACTCGTCTTGAAAAAGAAGGTGCTTCTTCGTGTGAAGATTGTCAGCTATTCTTGTGGAACCGGAGGGGCACACCACTGGTGTACGTGTAACGACAGATGGGCACAAACTTCGCTCCGGAGGTTTGTACGCCTTTCCTTCTTCTACCTCCCTGGCTGGATTCCCCACTCACCAGCCAACACACGCTCCTCTTCTCCTCCACCTCCTCAACTGTTCAACCTGTCTTCGGCAGGAGCACAGACTTCCCTGTCCCACCTCCTTGGCTAAGGCAGAGCCAGCAAGCCCATGCTCCTGCCAGGGACTGGTTGAACAGCTGAAGAGGAGGAAGAAAGGAGCATGCTCTGACTGGTGAGTGAGTCATTGACTGAGGAGGCAGAGGAAGGGAATATGGGGCACCAAAGTTCGTGACCCATCTGCACCTAACCAAGAATCATGGGCTCCCAACTTCATGTGTGGTTTTTCATGGAGGCAGCCCTACTTCAGTGGCCCCAACCTTGGGCCTCCAGATGTTCTTCAACTACAACTCCCAGAAGCCTTCACCACCATCTCGGCTGGCCAGGATTTCTGGGAGTTGAAGTCCAAGAACATCTGGAGACCCAAGGTTGGGGACCACTGCCCTACTTCATACCCAAGATTCCTTTTCCTCTCACCTGAATAGTGGTCATTCCCAGCTCCTGACCAACCAACACCTGTCCTTCTCGGAGCTTCGCAATTCTCGGCTCTTCCACCTGAATGAAATCGCTCACCAGCTCGGTGATATCCACCTGCCAATCCGAGCCCAGCAAGAAAGCCGTTTGCCCTCCCGGATCTGAGGGCTCGGCCACAAACTGGGTGAGCACCCGGACCATGGCGTGCTGGTACTGGAGAGTACAGCCTCTTCCCTTCCGCTCATCATCCTCTTCGTCGTCGCTATCCCGAGCTGGTCTGCCAGGGGAGGAAGACAGAGGGATCAGACCTATAGGAGCAGAGCAAGTTAATTCTAAGTAATGACTGAGGGATCCATTTTGAGCAGCAGGGACTCATCCTGACCCTACCCATAGTTAAACCTCTAAAAGCAGCCTAAAAAGGCCAGCATCTGCGTTAATCTGTGTCAACAAGTATGCCCTACCAGTGTCTATCTCCAGTAGGAATGGGTCTTTTGTACACTTAATGGGTTCTAATTGCCTGTTGAAGACCAGCTGCCTATAAAGTACAATGTATAAAAAACAACAGGGATTGCTCAAAGCCACACCCTGTTGCCAGGAAAATGTATTCTTTCCCTTCCAGCTATTCTAAGAACTGGAGTGACACTCAGAAGGAATAGGGTGTTGGGGTTTGTGTTGGACATCATTGTCCCTGCTCATCAAAATGTCCTAGACCTTCCATGCTCTGTGAGCCCATATCTATTGCATCGCAGGCCCTAAAGCTTTTAGGTGACAGGACTATAGGAAGCTGCTGTATAGTATTGCTATATGTGTCAAGTGGGTCCCATCTACCAGTAGCAGATCTCTAAGGTCAAAAGCAAAGAGGTGTGCTCCATCACTTGATACTTTCCTGTGTTGGTTTTTTTCCTGATCAAAATCTGTAAGTATTGAGGACTGAATCCAGAGCCTTCTATGTATGAGATGAACGCTATGCCATTGTCCTAGAGCAGAGCCATTGTGTTAAATTGCCCCATTGGCTTGTACTACGAGAAGTCATTCAACTGAGGTTTCATCATGGCAGTGCTCCTGTCTCTTTGAGGAACGTCCGCCACTGTGAAGATGTGAGGTAATACGCAGGATCCATCTGGAATGGGTGGGATTATGCAGATGTGAAGAGATCTGCTCAATGAGGGCTGAAGCAGCACCTAAAATGACCTTATCTCATGCAACATCCCACCACAGAACCAGGGGAAAACTGATATGGTTGTACTAGACGGGCAGGTTAGCTCCCTATATTATGAAAAAAAGGGCATGTAAACTCATTGAAAAGTTTATACAGCCTCATTGGAGGCTACTGACGGTGATGTGATGAAGGGCAGTAAATTTGCTCCGAGTTTTAGTCCAAACTTTCTTTAAGTTTGGGCTAAAACTCAGAGCAAAGCACCATCCAAGGTGTCAAATCTCTTTTAATAGAGTTCAGTACCTTGGAGAGTTCTTCTTAAAACTGGAGCAAAACCTGAAGTAGATTCACAGCTCTGCCTTGACTTCAGAGTCACCAACTTCTGCGGAAAGCCATAGAAGGCAGTAGGAAAAAGCTAAAAATAAATTAGTATCTCCTTATGCTTAATTCCAAGTTAGCATTAAGATGGCAACCTGCTAAGATGTTCTCTTTGCAAGCATCCGAACCAGGTGGAGAACCTTCAAATGACGCCTACCTCTTGTTTGAGATGATCGGAATCCTCCACCCTTTGATCTGATTTAACTCCGTGTCGGAAACCTCGATCTGTAAAGGGAGTCGAGGTACCCACACGGTCATTTCCAGGGGAGCACTCAGGTGCTGGTACATGAAGTGGACCAAGACGTTCGTCTTGCCTTTCATCTCCTTCCCATTGACAAAGACATAGTCACATCTTTCAGAGACCTGGAAAGAAAGAAAAAGGTGAGGGAGGAGTGTAGAGTTGAGGAAGAATTACTGCCTTTCCCTGCGAAATACAGAGACCTGGAAAGAAAGAAAAAGGTGAGAGAGGAGTGTAGAGTTGAGGAAGGAGTGTAGAGTTGAGGAAGAACTACTGCCTTTCTCTGCGAAATAGAACTGGCTGAGGAGGAAGAGTGAAGGAATGGCTTTGGAAAGCCAATGGAATGTCTTCCATCCATCTTAGAGCAGGAGCAGAAACAACCACATCAAGCTTGGACATGCAAAGTCTATCATTCCATTGTGTCCAGCTAAAGTAGAGACCTGTAAGATTCAAAAGCTTGCATTCCTTTAACCCACTAGAAGGAACTGAAGACATCATCTCGTTTACCCTGTGTCTTCATGTTTCTGGAGTCATTTTTCTGGGATATCTTAGATTACGCTCTATACAGAACTGGTGAGGATCATCTGAGGCTTAAAGCAAGGAGCATCAGATTGGCATGAGGGTGTCTCTTGACTATGCTAAGAAGGGAAGAAATAATGAGTTAGTGTCATCTTTGGTCTACTTAGGTTGGATAGACCAGTGGTTCTCAAATTTTGTGCCCTCTAAATATTTTGGACATCGTCTCCAGAAGCACTACTCAATAGGTCCAGAAGGCAGAGCTTGTAGGATGTAGGACATCTGGAGGACAAAACTCTGGAGGGTGAAAAATTGAGACCTCCTGAACAGAATCTAGGAGCTCAAAGGGTTAAGGACTGACAGATGAGCTGCATCATCTAGAATCTTTAAAGAAGACACTCTTACAGCTGGCTTCACTCTTGCAGATCTGCTGCTTTCTCTTGCAAAGAGGGGAGAGGAAGAAGAAACAGGATATGACTTCAGAGAGGGAAGGAAGGAAACCTAAGAGCATTGATCTGCATGTGGATCTAGAAAAGATACGGGGAAATACACTGATTTGATTCTCTGTCCATAGCTACCTAAGACGACTACCTGTCTTCTTCTTTAGCAGTAATTTTAGCTACAGCAGTCATGGCAGGAACATGTAAGAATACTACATTTCTTAAACAAATCGATAGAAAGCGTGCAGTGCAATGTTTGTATTCTTCTATGTTTGCATTCTTTGCTTCCCATATTCCAAAGTGGGCTCCATTCTGGCCCACCAATAATCCAGATCATATCTCCCACAAAGGTGTTTTTGTTCATGGATTCCCTCCCTGTCTTCATGTTATTTATGACCTCCTGCTTGGGCCGTGGTGGGGGCCAAAAGTTGATAAATCATACTTCATTGAAGCTTTTCACTCACATTTAGGTTGCAGTGACACAACCTGCTCATTACAGCTCGTTAAAACCTAGGCGCAAATACTCATGCCCAGTAATTTATTAACTCCACTTTGCAGTGCTGACAATCGGAAGGAATGATCTATTAAAATCCTGAACTCTTTATTTTTTTTTCCCTCTCCCCCTACAATCCATTACCAGCCGGGCCTTCTGTTCCATTATGCTGGTACATTTAATATTTCTGCTTCCCGAATATGCATGATCGTGCACTTATCTGAATTTAATGCCGTTTTCTACTTCTCTGTTTAAATGCAGATCAGATCTAAATCTTAGCAAAACGTCAGAAATGGCTGCTGCATAATTTACATGTCTGCATCATGCCTCCCATCCCAACCCCCAGTGGAAAGGCCTGCTTGGCATGCTGAAAATTAGATCTACATTCAGATTTTTTGACGGCTACTAACTGTACAGGATTCACCGTGCAGAATCCCCAGAGGTTTTTTTTTTAGAAATATTAGCATTTCAGCTTTCTTGGGGAGAGTGATGACTGTCTTTTACAGTAAAAAACCAGCACTATCTAGGGGTGCCTTGAAAAAAAAAAAGGACTGGTTTTATTGTAGTACATTTGACATGTACTACAATACATGTAGTACATCTGACATTTCTGTGGTGCTTCTGGCTCAGTTTGATGATTTAGAGCTTAGGTTCCCAAACTGTGCCCCACAGCACCCTTAGATGCCCAAGGGTGCTGTGGGGCACAATTTTCTTGTGACTATCATCTAGAATAATCCTGTATTTCACTCAGAAGTCCCATTGAATTAATTGTAGCTGTAGAAAGGGTAGCCGTACAAGCATTACGGGGGGGGGGGCAAAATAAAAGTAAGTCAAAAAGACATTTTTTTATAAAAAATGTGAGCTTTTGTGGAAAAGTCCACTTCTTATGTCTGATGAAGTGGACCAGTCACAAAAGCTCACATTAAAAATTTTAAATGTTAGTCTTTAAGGTGCCACCACTGCACATTAGTCTTCTTTTCATTTTTATTGTGTTTCCCCCATTGAATGACATGAGCCATAGACCCAAGTAAGCATATATAAGACTAAAACCTAAGTCCCTCAAAGTACTATGTTAGAAAACAAGCCGACAGATCAAGACTGCAATATTTTATAATAAGACAGAGTAAACCTCACGGCCAGCTCTATTTTGTACTCCTGGGATTGTATATTGCAGGTTTTTTTTTTTACTTAACTCTATTTAAAGCTTCCACCTGGCGCCTGGATATTTTTTCATTTGATGTCAGGATGATTCTCATGGTATCAGAAGTTGTAAGGCCTAAGCTCATCTCGGCATTCACTTCCCTAACATTTTGAGCCCAAGTTTTAATGAAGGCCTCCCTGAACATCTTTCAGCAGGAAATGTCCTGCTTCGAGACACCCATTTAGGTCCTCAACGCAGATCATGCAATCAGCCGGGGATGCCATTAAATCATTAGGATGTCGTTTCTCTGCCAGGACCCTTCACGGACCGTTTTGCCGTAATACGTTTCCAAACAAATGTGCTGACGTCCCCTGTCCTTTCTCTGCAGAGGACGTTGCGAGGTCCTCAGAGGCATTTTCATAGCGAAGAGATCTGGAGGGTGGGGCAGAAGGATGGGGGGACCATCATTCATATGGCTGTTCACGTCTCTCAGTTTGGGGGATAAGGACACCTATGCTCTTTGCAAATTAGCAAAATCCAGATGCAAAGATCTTGGACCCTAGAGCTGCTAATAATGTACAGATGTGGATATGCCCCTTTTCCAAGCGTTCTTATCCTGGTTTGTTCTCTCCTGAGTTTTGCTCAGTATTAGCGGCGGAGTGGAGCCGGCCCTACCATAAGTCAAAGGGAGGTTGTTGTTTCAGGTAGCCAGTAGCAGCTGGTAACTTTGATTTCATGGAGAACTCCTGGTGGATTTTGCTCTGAACTTTAATGAATGAATGAATGAATGAATGAATGAATGAATGAATGAATGAATGAATGA